TTTTTTTCCCACCTCTTTGGTGAATCTCCCAGTCACAAGCAAGAGCACAGACTTCTCTGCCCTCCTCTTTTGTCTAAGTGGGAGATCAGCCATGAAGGCAGGGCAGAGAAACCTGAGCTGCTGCCAGGACTGGAAGAATAGTTGAGGAGGTGTGGGAAAAACAACAAACTGAGCCTGGTGAGTTGATGGAAGAACAACAAACTGAGCCTGGTGAGTTGATGGTTCGAGCCAGAAGAGCCGCAGGGGAAGGGGAGAAGCAGCAGCTGTGCGGCCTCCTTTATGAACTGGGATGAACCCGGACAAACCACTTCACGCCGATCTCTACTTCTTAGGTCTGTGTCTAGAAAAGATCATGTAGCACCTGACTCCTTTCCTAGTAAAAGGAAACTGATGTCTTCATTTTTGCTGATTTAACTCCAAAGTAGGCTTTTAATAATAATAATAATAATAATAATAATAATCATCATCATCATCATCATCATCATCATCATCATCATCATCATCTACATGAAATGGGGAAGAGGGGAAAAGAAGCCTTTTTCTGTGTAGTACAGAAGTCAGAATCCTTGTGAGAATAAAATGTTACTCTCATTAAGTGATAATGGCAATTACGTGCTTGCAAGCAGAGGGGGATGTCTGTTCTGACGTTGTATTTCCTGGTGCTGCAAGGTTAATAGCAGCTGGGACTCAAAGGAGGGGTTGGCATGGAGGATGTACAGAGAGAAAGAGAGAGAGAGAAGGAAGGTGTTTGTGCGTAAGTGTTTTATTTTGCTGGGTGTTTTTTTTTAAGATGTCATCCAATTACATTATACAGATGGTACAAGATGAACTCTTGCCTCGAATATGATCAAAACTACACAAAATGTAACAACTTTATCTTGAAACTCTGAGGGAAAAAAGCCTTGTTTTTCCTGACAGAGTGCAACAGATATTTTAAATACAATGTGCATACTAAACAACCTTCCTTTCTCAGTCAGTCTCCCTGTAATTAACTGTGATTTTTGAAGCCAGCATCTTTACAGCACCCTTTATATGTACAGCATTCAAAAACTCACTTATACCCTGGTGATACAAGAAACAGTGTTGCTGTGTGAAAACCTTCATGGAATTTAGGTTAGGAAACATTTCATAAGTTCAGCAGTTGATTCTTATGGGTCACGGCGGGAGAACGAAAATTTTAATATCTTGCCGAACATTTGTTTGTTTAAAGTTTTGCTTTAGTAAAGGAAATACCAAAAGCAATTAGCTAATTCCAAACTATAAATTCCAGTTCAGAAACTCAACACTGTAGAAATTATGGAAGTCCAAAGTGAGGCAAAAGTCAAAAGTTCATTGGATTCCCTCCCCCTTCTTTATAGTTCCAATCTGCTGTCTCAGATCAAATTATGCAAAACTATGGATTGATCTAATATTTCCTGATCTCAGGATGATATTTTACTATTAAAAGTGTGCCACCTTCCTGATCCCAAAACTCCCAAAGGCTCCCCCAGGGCAAAAGGGCGCCCTAGAGACCTTCAGAGCCTGCAAGAAAATCAGCTTTCAATTCATTTGAGGATGCAAATAGATGGGGCAATTTGGAATGATCCAGGTCACATTTAAAAGGTCTTATGTTCGGTGAAATCTATTTTACAGTATCTCACACTTGAATGATCCATTCAAACAAGAAACATTTCTTCTCCCATGAGAATGATCCTGACAATACTTCAGAGGGCTCCAGTTTCTCCATGTTTTGATTACTGACCTTTTGTTGTAGCTGTCATTCCATAGAGCATTGTAACTTTCCTTCTTTTTTCTTTTTTTTTCTCTCTCTCTCTCCTTTCTGTTTAATTAGGAAGTGGCACAGTGCTACAGCAATACATCGGCCCAACATGGATACTTTCTTATATCCGAACTTGGTATACTGTATATATATAACTCCAGACATTTTTGTTTGCTTGTTTGCTCGTTTATTTGTCAGGATAGAACCAATACTGGTCAAAATTTGGAAAGTTACTTTTAAAAATTAAATTAATTATAATTATAGACCCAGATCTCAAATTTATATATATTTTTTCCTACTGTTCTAGTTGCAATATTTTTAAAGTGACTGTTTTATGTTCTCATTTATCAAAAGTAACTAGAATGGTTCCTTTTTGTTGCTTTAATAATCCTGTATGTTACAGGCTGATGAGGCAACAAAATTAGGCACAATACAAGCCAGCACCATGTGATATTTCTCCTCCACCACATAGTATGACTATATCCTCTAACTGTAAAATCAAACTTAAAAGTTACATATACATTACAGAAAGAATCATGTTAGCCACTGCTAGATTATAGTTGGAATGTAATGTAGCTGTACCTTCATTATTGGGGGGAAAATACAGGTCTAGCATTGGTTTGTCCCCTCACTTGTAATTTGCAGGCTCCTCCTTTCTATGTCTTTTCACAGCATTCTTTGAACTCCTATTATGTATGCTATGTTGTGTTAATAATGAGAAAGTCTGATTAAAATTAACTATAGTTTGGGTCAGTGTAGTGTAGTGGATAAATGTCAGACATGTATTCAACTCATGCCTCAGCCATGTAAGCTTGTTTGTGGGGTGGGCCGACAGCAGCAGTGGCAAACCATTCTTTCAACATGTCTCATACCTTCAAATCCCTAGGGTTTGCCATAAATCAGAAGTGACTTACTGGCACATAGTACCAACAATCATGAGTTAAATTGATGCAGACTGCACCATGGTTATCTCTGCATAGGAAAGAAGGGTAGAGGAGGGATGAAAGGCACATGTGAGTGTTTAACTTGATCCCTAAGTGATCGAGGGGATTGCCTGTGGAGTGGGCCAAAAAAGCATGGAGGGTGATGTACTGATCATAAATATAAGGATGAATATTTTGTACTTGAGCGCTCTGATGTGTATATCTAAAATTAAAATCACTGGTAAAGAAACTGGGGATATGAACACTTCATATCCCCAGTTTCTCTGTACCTCTCTAAATCTCACCAGCATTTTCTTCTCATCCTTGTTTCATTTAGAATTGTAAGACTCCTTTTTCCTGCACTGAAACTCGTATACTGTACTTTCTTATTTTTCCTAGTGTAAATGTTTGCTTTGACATTTTCATGGTGTGCTCATTTCTTTGTGCCTATTCTCAAACATGCACAACTTTTCACCATGGACTAAAGTGTATTTACACGGGCCTAACTCCTGTCTAACAACTGCTAGACTCAGATTGCAGATCTGACAAACATTCCTGAGCTGTACTGAGCAGCCCTTGTTTATATGAAATGTGCAGTAGGATATTATATAACTGGTGCATGCATGCACTTGGATAATTCAGCACTTGAGAGGTGTGTGGAATTGTACCATTGAGAGGAAGCATTGTGCTGAAGGTGATAAGAGAGTGGAATCTGGCAGTGCTTGGTGATGGCCCAGTCATACATAAAAATCAGCACTTGATTTTCCAGCCCTCTAGCAATAATTATTTATATGTGGTAACACTGAGTAGGAGCAATGAGAGTCATAGTCCAATGCAAACAAAGCGCATCAATTTGGAGAAGACTTGCCCAGATAAATTAACGTTCAATGTTTAAAAAACTTCTTTAAACATGGCTGTTTAGACAGGCATTTCCATCAATAGTAACCCATTGAATTTATCAGCCTTAAGACAACCGTACTGCCATTTTCAATATTGAAATATATAATTTTTAATGTGTTATTGTTTAACTGTTGTTATGTTTTATGTTGTTTTATATGTGGAATTTGTTTTATACTTGTACTGATATTTTCTGTTTGATTGTGTTGCAAACAACCCAGAGTAGCCTAGAAACAGTTGAAAATTCAGACAGATCAAAGACAGGTATAGATTGAAGAATGTGTGAATAGGGATTTCAAGAGGTATCAATCTGAAACTCTGTTGCTTTTAGCCATTGCCTGAAGAGACACTTCCAGGGTTTGTCGCAGGTCGGTCTTGATCCGTCTGTGTTTCTGTGTTTGCCTGTATCATAGGAGGAGGAAGAGCTGGATCAGAAAACATGAGAATTGTATATTCTTAGCTTCATACTTACAGAAGCGATTGTCCAGACCACGTTTTTGACACTAATACTGCCATAGCCAGATGCACTCTGCTCTGTAGGAACAAAAGAATTTGCCTTATAACAAGTCAAGCCTTTTGTCCATACCGTTCAGTATTGTCTAAATCAGCCATTGCCAACGCAGGCCACATGGGCCCCTTGGGGGAGATACATCTGTCTGTTTTGTATCCTTGTTTGCACGCACCCAGAGGCTTTCCTTGTTTGACAAGGGCCCCCCCACACACACACACACACACAAGGCTCAGAATGGCTGAACTAACTGACAGTTGCTCTGTAGGGTTTCAGGAAGAAAACTTTTAGCCTACCAGGATAGTCCTGGGATCTTGAACATGCAAAGCCCATGCTCTAGAGCAGTGGTTCTTAACCTTGGGTTTCTCAGGTGTTTCTGAACTGCAACTCCCAGAAACCCCAGCCAGCATGGCTGGTGGTGAAGGCTTCTGGGAGTTGCAGTCCAAAAACACCTGAATAACCCAAGGTTAAGAACCACTGCTCTAGAGTAGTGTATATGAATCAGCCTGACTGTAAATTTACAGGTTGGACTTTGCATAGTGGCTTCATTTATTTTCTGTAATCTGCCTCGACATCTTCTTTTGGAATAATGTTGGCATATATATTGTTGGGGGAGGGAGGAATCCGTGCACAAATTGTATAGACATGGACATTCCTGCATTGCCACTAGCAATTGATGCTGTGATTTGTCATCAAAATGCAACAGTACACAATGGAGGGGAGCTTGTGTCAAATCCTGAGGAGGTAAATTTGGTGCCCCAATCCACTGACATTGCTCACCTTGTTTTTAATTTAAACTAATTCTTGAAAAATACTTTTTTTTATTTAACTCAGAGAGGCATACTCTAAAGTGAAAGGGAGAAAAGGTGTGAGATCCTATATTAAACGAAAACTTTTTTTTTTTTAAATCAAGGATAACTGAATTACTCGGATACCATCCTGAAGAACTGTTGGGCCGTTCTGTGTATGAATTCTACCATGCCTTGGACTCCGAGAACATGACCAAAAGCCATCAGAATTGTAAGCCACACTCTAAAGCTTCATTTATATTGTGGGGATTTGAGTTGGATTTTAATTTAGCAGGCAAAATGAATAATTGATTTTAACAGCCATGAGCGTTTTCAGTCCATTTCACACAACCAAAGTGTGGGTCAGTGAAAAATGATTGCTAATATTTGTGGCAATCCACCTGACTAGTGTGCTAAATTTCAAAGATGGTGATCTGCCATGTCATGAAGAAAAATGTCTGTTAGAAGTCTAATTACAGTACAAGGCAAGGGGCTACATGTGGACAAAAACTCTGTTATGGAGGAAGGTAAAAGCCACCTTTTAAACAGAGTTGGAGTAGAGCTGCAGTCCAGAAAATTAACCTTTCCCATCCCTGCATTGAAATATTTGGTCATTCATTTATTTATATTTTATATAAAAAATACACACACATATCCTTATACATTGGGTGGACAACTTTCAAGATCATTTCTGCCAGTTAGCCAGTTGCTTAAGGCCCATACAACCAAATGGAGCATAATTAGAGAGCTTAGTAGGTTTTTTCTCTAATACATTATATCATAAATTTTACTGCATGTTTCAGTGTGGATGTGCTTATAATTTTATCATAGCAAAATTTGTTGCTACTAACAACCCCAACAATCCCACTTAATTGAATGTTATTATAATTGATTATAATTTATTATGATTATATGTCATCAAGTTAATTTCAACTTATGGCAGTTCTTGCCAGAATTTCCTGAGTATAAAATACTCAGAAGTAGTTGGACTTGGGACTTGAGGCTTGTTACCAAAGACGTGGACTTGGGATTCAGACCCAACATCCCTAGACTGAACTATCTAGCTATTGGATATTATTATGCCTAGCTATAGGAGATGAACTTTACTTGATCAAAGATGACGTCATCATTTTCTCCCCAAATCCACTGGGATTAAATTAAATATTAATTAGAAGTTCTACTAGGTCGTTATAGAATAAGTTTAAGGGAACTGGAAGAAAGAATAACAAGAACTATTTAAATAACAAAAGCTTGCAAATGTTTTTTCTGTCAGTTAACACTAGAAACATTTTCAATAAACACTGTCCATAATAATATAAACAGCCAATTTAGTGATTTGCTGGCATAATACGATTCCAGTTTTTTTTTTCTAAAATAAATAAAATTAGAGAGGATTAGAAAGTACAGTGAAGGGCTTGGGGGCTATGCATAGCTTTTGATTATACTTCCATCACTGTTTGCATAGATATACAGTTACCGTATTTTTTTGCTCCATAAGATGCACCTGACCTTAAGGCGCACATAATTTTTAGAGGAGTAAAACAGGGAAAATATATTCTGAACCAAATAGTGTAATAAAATATTTAATAAACTATAACAGAATAACATTTGAACCATGTAAAGTAAACAGTAGTCAACAATGGCATTAAGAACCATTACCACTGTCATTAACAAATGGAGAGACTTAAAACTTTGTGTACTCTAGTTTATGTACCATAAATTTGTGTACCATAAATTTAATTCAAGTACATATAGACCATTATCAGCCAGTGGTAAAACCTATACCACTCTACCTATATTCTACATTTCCTTTCATCCACCTCCTCCCCATGCTTATAGAAATGTCAAAATGACACATGGTTTGTCTGATTTTGCACTGCATTGAGAGGTCCCTTTTAGTTGTGTGGAGGATAAATAGTGGAATTAAACTATTTAACAGCTGGTTTTCCTTATTTACTTTAGGTTATGCAAAAGAACAGCAACACATAGCTTAACCTGATCCCATTCACCAACAGTAGCACATGCTCAGCATAAGACCAAATCTCCATTTTCTGACATAATTGAACGTTTATAGCATGCAAGGCACAACAGGTTATGCCACACAAAGCCATGAACAGTGTTCTTGACAAGCCAAAAAAACTGAATACAAACTATAGTAGCTGAAATCAGGAAGCAGGTACTGTAATCCAGTTAGAAGTCACGAGGCACAGTTAGTTTCCTTGCTGCAACACCCTTAGGAAATACTGTACATTCTCTATTAGATGCCCAGAACTAGTTGAAAAGTTTGCAAGTTGAATCCAAATTTC